AATGGCTAGTTTTCCTGTTGGTTTATTCAGAGGCAGGAGTTCTGGGCACTGAGTTCCTTTTGATGCCTTGGAGGCTGTATTGTTCATAACATGGATGGACTCTGATGGTTCTGTAAGTAGTTGCATTTAGGGTCAAAATGCAAGCACAGTTTGGTGCTGGGATTATAAGCATGTGCCCAGTGGCTCATCTTTTAAATAGTTTTTGTTGTTTATTTGCAGTACTGGGGGTCAATCCCAGGGTCTCTTGTGCATGTTAGTCAAAGGCTCTGCCACTGACCTATATTCTAGCCCCTCTGAGACAGTTTTAACATCTACCTCCTTGGATTGTTATTGAAAATAAATTAGGGGGTCAGGGAGATGGCTCAGTGGAATAAGCGCTTCCCTGGTAAGTGCAAGGGCCTGAGTTCAATTTTTTTTTTTTGGTCCCACCAAAAAAAAGGGAAAGAAAAGAAATTAGGTCAGTTGTGTTGTGTGCCTACAATTCCAAGTATTCAGAAGGCTGAGGCAGGAGAATTGCAAGTTTGAGGCCAGCTTGGGCAACTTAGTGAGACTCTCTCTCAAAATAAAAGACCTAGGAATGTCACTCTGTGGTAGAGCACTTGCCTGGCATGCCCAAGGCCCTGGGTTTGATCCTCTGTACTACAAAGAACCACAGGGGCAGCCAGATAGCTCAGCAGATTAAAGCGCCTACTTAGGCAGCCAGGATTCGATCCCAGTGTGCTGTGTCAGCCCTGACCCCAGGGCATGCTGAGATGGTGATTGAGACTGGACATGGTGGCATGTGCCTGTAATCCCAGCACTTGGGAGGCTGAAAAACAGGAGGATTACTATCAGTCTGATCTGTGTAGTGAGACCTTGTAGGCCCTGCACTAAATACATTAAAAAAAAAAACAAACAAAAAAACCCACAAAGTACTACAAAGAAAAGGGGTGGAGAACTAATTAGGTGACCAATATGAAGTACCTGGAAGTCATTCAATAAATTCCCTGTTGCCAGAGGATGATACCTGTGGTAAGTCATCTTCTTGCTCCTTACAGACAGCTAATTTTTTCTGCTACTGTTGTGTGGTTGCCACCTTACATCTCCATGTGCCCCTTGTGTGGGCTTCTTCTCCATGTGCCCCTTGTGTGGGCTTCTTGTTCCCTACCTGTAGATCTATGGGAATCGAAAGATTGTGCTAGAGAAAGAGGAGACCGAGCAACTGAAGCGGTTTGATGAGCCAGGCTTGGCGCTCATCGGCTTTAAGCCCTTGGCTCTGCTGAAGAAGCACCACTACCTGAGGCCCTCCCTGTTCGTGTACCCTGAGGAGGCCCTAGTGAATGGTAAGTGACAGAGACCACTAATGAAGGAAATGAAGGACTCTAGCCTGGGACGGTTTATCCAGACCTGTGCCCTGAGTGGGCACCACTTGGATGCCACATGGGAATGTTAACATGGCATTTTGGAAGGGTTTCTTGCACAAATTTCAGAAATGTGGGACCAAACAGATTTCTTCAGCTGTGTATTACTGACATGTTTTGAAATCCAGGGGGTATTGTGAAATGAAGAGTGTTGGGGAGAATTTATGGGCTTACACCATGGCCAAGAAGAAAGGACACTAGGATGTAAGCTACTGATGTCTTGTTTCTTAGGGAGCTCAACTCTGTTCAGTGCCCTGCTCATCAAGTGTCTGGAGAAGGAAGTCCTAGCTGTGTGCAGATACACTCCCCGCAAGAGCACTCCCCCTTATTTTGTGGCTTTGGTGCCACAGGAAGAAGAGCTAGATGATCAGAAAGTTCAGGTGACTCCTCCAGGTATGTGGCAGAAGGACTTAAGGGGCCCAGAGTCCTAGTTCAAACCTGCTGAATTGTAGTCAGTGGGAATAAGACCTGGAAAATAGGTATTTCTAAGGTTCCTCAGGTGAGTGTGATGTAGGCAGGTGAGGTCACCGCAAATGGTTTTGCAGTGCACATGCTGCCCAGTCGTAAGTGGCAGGTCTGTGGCTCTGTCATCTCACAGGGAGTGTTTGAAGGTGACTGACACAAGTTCCTGGGGCCCTACTCCAACACCTTGCTTGATGAAAAGCCATTGTTTGGCACCCCCTTATAATGCTTAATAATTGGTTTGTCCCTTGTGCTGTGTCCAATGTGGTTCTTGAAGTCCCTGAGGGGAAGGATGGTGAGAGGATGGAGAAGTAAAGATAAGAGAAAGCTGAGGTCAGGTGCAGCCCTCTCTCTGCCTCCATAGCATGTGTGTTTTATATATTCAGCAGGTTGGTGTCACACAATGTCCCCTTGCCTAGCAGCTCACTGTCTGGATCGTCTCTGGGCTTGATTTTCTCTGGGCTGAAGCAGCTTGTTCGTGTGGTTTGCCTCATGAGCTCTTTGTTCTCCCACCTGGCTGACCTGCATGCGTGGCCAATTTCTAGCTTCAGTGGCTCTCCTCACCCCTTTGCATGCCAAGAGATAGAGTTGAATGGAAAGAATATGGACTTTGAAGTCAGACTTGATTTTGTCTGTGTTCATGTCTGAAAGCTCACTTTCCTCTGTTTTAGACCCGTCTCTGCCACGAGTGAAGTTTGCCAGCTTGAGCCTTTTACCTTTCTATTTATATTCTTTGTCTACAGAGATGAGAGTTCTGAAACACCTTTTCTTTTTTTTTTTTTAAATTTTATGTATTTGTGTGTGTGTGTGTGTGTTTGTGTGTGTGTGTGGCGCCAGCTCAGCCCACCAGGGGGCGGGGCTGGCTGGCATGTGGTGCTGGGGGATTGAACCGCAGTCCCTGTGCTTTGCTAAGATTGTTCTGAGTAGGTGCTTTAGACCACTGAGCCATCTCACCAGCCCCTGAAACACCTTTTCTTTAGGGTTGTTTTGTTTTGAAATAATAATGCGGATGTAAATAAGTTAATGGTGTGTAAGTGCCAGACTGGGGTGCAGCTCAGTGGAAGAGTGTTTGCTTGGCGTGTGTGAAGCTCCAGGTACATCCCCCAAACCATAACTACTAACAGGAGTAAGGTACAGCGTCCAGCACAAAGTACTTGGCAGGTGGCTGTCTCTTCTCTAGGCTTGCTAACACAAACTTCCAGTGCAGAGTCAGCCTCTGACTGTATCCTGTGCTTATCCGTGGTCAGCAGAATGCTCAAGAGTGTTCAGTCACTAAGCCTTGGCCTCTCAGCCCCCAGGTCCTTGTGTCATGCTTTATGCTCCTGAAGCTGAGACTGTCCAGGCGGAGGCAGCTCTGGGACAGGCTGTGTGCACAGCAGGTGTGTGGTGGAGGCCAGCGCAGAGGGGACCTCGGGCTTGCTCCTTCTGCTTGCCCTGTGCCTTCAGCATTGCCAGCAGGGGCCTCACATCTGGCTGCAGCAGTGGTTGCAACATCTGGATTTGTCCTTGCTCAAGCAGCTGAACTGAACTGAGATCAGCCTAGTGACCCTCTTCCCTCCTGGCATGTGCTGGAGGAGAGAAGAGGAGGGGTAGAAGCTCCGAGCGGTTGAACTAGGCCCTTGGAGACGAGCCCCCTTCTGGCTGGCTCTGGATGTTCAGAAACTGGAGACATTTGGCGTGTAGAGTAGTGACGGCAGTGCTTAGCATGCATGAGGCCTCGGGTTCTATCTCCGATAGCCAAAAAAACTGCTGGAGCCAGAACCAGCTGCCATTCGCAGGGAAAGATCCCTGTGGGAGGGTGTGGAGAGGAACAGTGAGTGTTCAGAAAGGGCACCTTCCTGTGGACGCTGGTAGAAGAGAGCTGAATGAGATGGTGCAGGCCTGTAATCCCAGCACTCTGGGAGGCTGAAGGGGGAGGATTGAGAGTTCAAGTTCAGTCTGAGCAACTTAGGAACTTAGACCCCGCCTGAAAATATAAAAAGGATTTGGGGGTATGGCTTAGTGCAGAGGCTGGGGGTTCAGTCCCCAGAACTGCCACTCTGCCAAGGAAAAAGGAGAAACGGGGTTTCAATCTCCCTTCACAGGCTTCCAGCTTGTCTTCCTACCCTATGCTGATGATAAACGAAATGTGCCTGTCACTAAAAAGGTCATGGCCAACCCAGAGCAAATAGACAAGATGAAGGCCATTGTTCAGAAGCTGCGCTTCAAATACAGAAGCGACAGCTTTGAGAACCCCGTGCTGCAGCAGCACTTCAGGAACCTGGAGGCCTTAGCCTTGGATTTGATGGAGCCTGAGCACACAGTGGATCTGACCTGTAAGAGGGCTGGGCTCAGGCGGGAAGTTCTTTTGTTTATTTTTGTTTTTTGAGACAGGGTCTTGCTGTGTAGTCCAGGCTGGCCTTGGACTCAGTATGTAGCCCTTTTGCCTCAGTCGTGAGTGCTGGGATCACCACACCTAGCCCTGAGTTCTTTTTGTCAGAGGCCTTCTGATTCATTCTGAGCCAGGAATATGTACCTTTTCACTGTCCAGACTGTCTGTTGGAGAGATTTTCAGGGCCAGCTTCAACTGCCAGGAATGGCCTGCAGGAAGAAGAGGAGACAGTGCCTGGCTTCTAAGCCCCCATCTCTAAGCCTCCACATGCCTAACACTGGAGAATGTTAGACACGGGTACTAGGTACCAAGTGCCTCCCGTGAGCCGGGTCCTGCTGTCCTGAGTGCTCACTTGCTTCAGCCTCCAAGGTGAGGCTGAGGCTGCAGCTGTCCCCATTTGCCTAGTGTACAGGCGCTGAACAGCAAGCAACTCGGAATCTAGTGGCTCCTGGCCAGGGCCGGCTCTGTGCTTGTACCCACTCCCAGATTCTGTGCCCCTCATGAGAAAAGCCACCTGCTACCCCACAGGCTGTGCCCTCTCCCTTGCTGCTGGTCCCCTTCTTGAGTGTGATGCTCATGCATTCATGAAAGGACAGTGGTGTGGTGGCAGAAGTGTAAATATCCACGTGGAAGCAGAGTGGCTTCAGTCGAGTCCTCAAGGCTGAGAAGTTCGGAATAGTTTGGCTTGCTCAGTCTCCACATAGATGCTGTATTTACTATTTTTAAAAATTTTTGTAGGCCCCTTTAAAGCTAGCATTAAAAGCAGTGATTTACCACAGTGCTTGTCTGTGTCTGGAAGAAGAGAAATCCCGTAATTGAGCAGCCGCCCATCTCTTCCTGTAAGGCCTTTAGTGATATTAAGTGCAGTCAGCACTCCTTGCCTATCCTTGAGTCCTGCTCAGTCGAGCCAACCAGCTGTGGGTCAGAAATATTACAGGACAAGTTGCAGCTCACTGTACACCTGTAACCTAGTACGGTGGGAAGCTGAGGCAGGAAAATTGCAAGTTCACCTCAGCCTGGGCAGTTTAGCAACTTAGCAGGACCCTGTGTCAGTAAAAAGTGGGCTCAGTCCCCAGAACTAAAAAAACAGTTGCATCGGTATTCACCATGTAGGCTTTTGTTTTTGGAGGGGGTGCCATTATTTTTTAATGCAGCATAACGACATATGTAGTGTTTTCATCCTGTCAGGCTTATGTTATCTAGAAATGATTTAAAGTACGTGAGAAGTTGTGTGTAGGTTTTATCAAATAGTGTGCTGTTACAATAAAGGGATTTGAGGGCCTAAGAATTTGTAGCAGATGGGGTCCCAGACGGGGTCCCCTGTACTTTTCCAAGTACAGAGATGGCTGTACTCGGAAACACTAGACCAGTGATGGTGAGCTTTCAGTGATAACAGCCCCCTGTGGCACGCGGGCTCTACATGGGTTTGCCATGAGCAGCAGCGGGCTTGTGAGTGTTGTTGTGCCCTCAGTAGGCCCTTCCCCACCCCTCATCCCATTAGTTCAGGGCTCCCACAGACCTGGAATGGGAAGGCCGAGGACATGGGTGTGTGACTCACCTGGCTGCTTTCTGCGATTTGCCTTCTAGTGCCCAAGGTTGAAGCAATGAATAAAAGACTGGGCTCCCTGGTGGAGGAATTTAAGGACCTTGTTTACCCACCAGACTACAATCCTGAGGGAAAAGCCACCAAGCGAAAGCAAGGTGAGGAGCTGGCTGTGGAACTGTGGCGGGTTCTTCTCAAAGTTGCAAGGCTGCGGATGGCTCTGAGGGCTGGACTGCTGGACCTTCGGTGGGTGGATGAGCAACCCGAGGGCGGGGAGCTCGAGGACGAGTGCTGAGTGGTGGGGCCGCTGTTGCCGGCGTAGACGCTGAGAATTCTGCTGGGATTAACACCCCATCCAAGGAGGCGCGAGGGCATTTTCCTCTGCTTTCACCAGACCCAGAATTGATGTACAATTTAAAACCATTAACCATAGAATATATAAAGGTGTTATAGGGAAAATGATGTCCTGCTTTGACTTATAATTTCCAGT